GTCCTGACAAGAGGAACACTCGATTGACCCAGGACTGCAGCGGCAAAACTGCTTAGAAGATAAGTGAGAACGCCCATGCATTTACGCATCCTGCAAAAACGCACAAAACTTTCCCCGATGTTTCATCGCTGCCTGTAAATCGCACTCGGCAGGAAGACCGGCGGCGCATCCCCCCTGCCAAAAACAGTGGACCCAGCCCCCGTGCATTCAGGCGGTCTGCCAAAATGCACGGCGGGTTGCATTGTCTGCCCTGACCAGTCCCTCCTGGGACGAACAGCAGACCCTTGAATTCCCTCCAAAAAAGAAACACAGCCATGTGCATTTAGGCGGGCTGCCAAAACGCATGTGGGATTGGCATGTCCTGCATGTGGCCTTTGCACAACCTATCTTTTTCTGGAAAAAGAAGCAAACCCCGTGCATTTACGAGGCCTCTGAAAATGCATGCGCATTCCCGTCCATTGCCCCATATCTGCTGTCGGAGAGAGAAAGACAGAGAGAGAGAGAGAGAGAGAGCCGAGAGCGAGAGCTGTGCATTTGAGCAGGCTTTGAAAATGCACTTTGCTGGATAAACATTGCAACACGGATGCAGCACAGTACGTTCTGACCATGTGTTGCAACAGCCCGACAGAGAGTAATGTGCATTTTGCTGTGCGTCCGAAATGCATGCGAAAGAGTGATGGAGTCTCTCCCTGAAGAAGGCACTGTACACGCATGTGGTTGATGGACGTTCCCTGTCTCCAAACCCCAAACGGAGCGTGGCAAGAGCCAGTGAGAAGGCACCACCTCCTTGCAACAGACACTATCCAGGAGTATCTGTGCATCCCCCAGCACAGTCCCGACAAGCAAGAAACACAGCAGGCTCAATGCACAAGCATACCGTGGTGAAGTAAAACGAAAGAGTTCAAATGGGACTGCTCTACCCCAGGTCTCAGAGCTACCGCAAGTTCAGCTAGTCAGCATCAGTGGAGGAAGAGCTTGAACTGCTGATCAAGCTCATGGCATCGTCTTCGGGCCAGATGTCCTGCCCTTGGACACCATCCCTTCGCGTGAATTTGGCCAGATTGACAGTGGGCAAGGATGTGTACGCCATACACCGAGACAAGCACGGATTCGGGGCTTCCTTGAGGTCGGGAAGGAGCATGGGCATGTTGAGGCTGACCTGTTGAAGTTCCTGCTGTGTCTCCAAGCTCAATCTGTTCCGGATAGGAGATTTGATGCGATTGGCGACTGCCCAAGCCCTCTCGGCAGCTCCCTGTGATGCCACGGAGGCCCATAGCTTCACCGCCACCTTCTTCAGCAGCGCGCTGGGCTGTCGATGCTGCCACCATCGGATCACATTCTCCAGAGAAGCTGTTGCATCCGGCCATTCTCGCAATCTGGCAAACATGCCACGTCGCTCTCGGTACTCCTGCAAGTGACCACAAACTGCTTCGAGGCATTCTGCATCCGCTCCGTAATACATCGGCAGCAAAGCGTCAGTCGCAGACACAAAAGCAGCTTGCAGCCACAGCGGCTCCTCACCACCTGCGGCTAGTCTCGCAAGATGTCGTGGATCGAATGCCGCTGCAGCTTTGACGGTCTCATCGCAAAGCCTGGGCAGCATTCATTTATTTTACCTCAGTGCAGGAGACCTCCGCCGTCATGCATGTGCTAAACGCATGAGAAACACGATCTTCAACTTCGTTCCTAACCTTTAGCAGCTTGAGGACATTGCGCGGTCTGCAGCCAAAACACATGTCCAAGCGCTTTCGCACAATCTCCTTCAGCTCATCTCGACGGGCCCTGACTTGAGCTTCGGTCTCGTTCGTGTCACGAAAATCCGCTGTCTGCACAACCTCGCGCAGCTGGGCCTGTGCCAGATTCCAACAAGATTGCACTTGGGGTGTCAGGTGGAAGGTTTAGGGTTGCAGCTGGGCCTCTGCCAGCTTCCAGAGATTGTACACCTCCGGCAGGCGCGCACAGGCGCACGCCTTCGACAACTGCGTCAGCAAGAAGAGCACGGGAAGGAAACGTCTCGCCCGAGCTTCCAAGGCATGCTGCTCCCAAACCTGAAGCATCTGGGCAGCTCTTCGACGCTGACGGTCTGTATGCCCCAGGCGCTCGACACCGTGAGCTCGAGCTATCCTGACCACTGCGGCCTTGTGCTGCAGCCATTTGCAGGTCATTGTGGTCCACGAGTTGTGACGAGTCTTGCGGCGATGTTGTATCACAATCCCTGCAGCCTGGGCAAACTTGACAGGGGAAATCTGTGCCCTGAACATGTTTCGGTACAGGCGACAATTCCGAAGTAAGACCACAGACAAAGTGACAATAACATGGGTGCACATCTTGAAACACGTACCGGGATGTACCGGAGACCCTTGTGCATATTGACGGCTTCCCAAAATGCACTGAGCATGTGTGCATCCAAGTTTGGGGTCCCTCCAAAGAGTCCCTGGCCACCAACCCCGCGAAACTGCGAAGACTTCTAATGCATTTTGGCAACGCTTCACAATGCACAGGCTGACCGAAAGGAGGCCCATGTGTGCTCTGAACATGCTTTGGAAGAGAATTGTAACCAGTGACACAGTGACTCGTGACAGTAACCTGGGTGCACATCTTGAAGCACGTACCGGGGTGTACCGGAGACCCTTGTGCATTTTGACGGCTTCCCAAAATGCATTGAGCATGTGTGCATTCAAGTTTGGGGTCCCTCCAAAGAGTCCCTGGCCACCAACCCCGCGAAACTGCGAAGACTTCTAATGCATGTTGGCAACGCTTCACAATGCACACGCTGACCGAAAGGAGGCCCATGTGTGCTCTGATCATGCTTTGGAACAGAATTGTAACCAGTGACACAGTGACAGTAACGTGGGTGCACATCTTGAGGCACGTACCCGGGATGTACCGGAGACCCTTGTGCATTTAGGCGGCTTCCCCAAATGCACTGAATATGTCTGCATCCAACTTAGGGGACCCTCCAGAGAGTCCCTGGCCACCAACCCCGCGAAACTGCGAAGACTCCTAATGCATTTAAGCAGTGCTTCAAAACGCACACGCGGGACCAAACTCCAGAAGAGGCCCAGTTCCCCCCTGAACTTCGTCTGGCCTAGAATTAGAGTCAGATGAAGCTCGGCAAACAGACAATGCATTTGTAGGCGTCGTGAAAATGCATCAAACAAGGTGCCAGGTCAGGCGAACGTGTTCAATGCAATCCACCGATGTTCCTAAAGTTATATGCAAACTGAAAGAAGCTATGAATGTCAGACAAGCGGCTCTAACCTTGCCGATCAGCTTCTTCTGTTTCCGGAGCCATTTGATGGCAGCATGGATCTCAGTGGTCGCGTTTTTGACATACGGCATTGCTTCGCGAATGTCCTTCAGCAACAGTTGCGCTCCATGCTCGTGGCAGCGCAATGCCAGGAGCGGATGCGGAGATTGTTCTGCCAAACGGCGTGCACATGCAACCATGTTCTTGGCGTTGTCACCACATATCGAAGCTATCGAACTGATTTCCACCCAAGGACGAAGAAGGTCTGAAAGGGCTTCCGCCGTGCAGTCCATCTCAGTGGTCTGGCAATGCGCCAGGTGCAAGCAGGTGCCTTGCAAGTTGCTTGCAAGGATGTTGAAAAACCCGCAGCTGTCAACCGTCGCACCATCTGCCGAAATCACCCAAGGGCCATCTGCTCGGAGCTTTTGGACCAGTGTCGTCTGCAGCTCC